ATGAGTAAATTATGGCACCAGTACCACCTATTTACCATGTCTGATTTAATCTCAACCTCCTGATCTCGCAGGTGAGGAAATAGAAGCCCATAGATAATAAATATGTTACGGTGGCCACAGGACTCAGGGGTAGATCTGGGAGGCTGAGACGCCTGGTCTAGTGTTTTTTTCCTTTGTATCACACAGCCTTCCAACCCTCCCACTCACCATGGGGCTGTCACACTGACTTCATTTTCCTAGTCCCACCCTTGGCTTCTGCTAGACTTCGCATTAGGAACTTGGCCACAGAACTAATTTGCACAATGGCTAAACTTGTTTCACATGTGATCAGGACTCTTGGTGGGGGAAGAATTCTAGGAAGAGAATTGCAGATTGATTGAGAATTCCTGAGTGCTGGAAAATGCAATTAGGTAGGGGATGGCAGGAGTTGATTGAGAGGGAAGAAGATTACTGTGGAGAGGTATCATGAAGGAAGCAGCAGTAGATTGTCACTACTTGCACAGAATTGAAGATGCACAAATTGAAGTTGGAGACTCTGGCTGCACAAAGTGCAGGGTGGGCACACTGTGGGGAAGAGAGAGCCTGATGTACAGTGCTGGGAAAGGTAACGTGGAGTTTTGGAAAGCATATGGTTGATGGGGTTACCCAAAGCCTGGCTCTGCTGAAACAAAGCAGGCCCACAATAAATGTTAGCCAAAAAAAGCCAGCTGTGCTTTCAGCATTTCATCCTCCCAACCACCTTGAGAGTGGATATGATTAGCCCAATCTTTACCAAAATAGGAAGTGACTGGAGTCTCAGAATTGTTAATGAACTCATCCAGGTATGCAAGTGGCTGATCACATTACAGATTCCAAATCCCATTCTCTTTTCCCTGGTAGTGAGAATGGCTCCTGAGCGTACCTGCTATTTAAGAGAAATAAAAGTGTTTTCTCTTTCTGCTTATTACCTTGCTTTTGGGTGGAAAACAACCAGCTTCTATTCCTAGAGTAGAAACCAGCTCTATTTGTTGTTCTTGAGTTGTATGCATGTTTTATTGAGGAATTAACTTCATAACAAAAGAGTATGATTGGAACTTTTATAATTGCACCTATTACTTCTATTATTGAACTACTCTCTCTCCCCTTTTATTGCTAAAAGAATCAGTGATAAATTTTTTGTTTGGAGAAATGTGCAGCCTGCTGAGTCCAGACAGCCCCTCATGCTTTTGGTACCTTGAGACATAAAATGTTGTTATTTGAATCTGTTTAAAGGAACTTCCAGCACATGCCCAGGCAGGACCTCAGGGTGGGCGGAGCTCAGGTCGACTGCTGGCTCCAGCAGGCTAATAACAGGGCAATGTGGCACCCATTCTTACTAGCAGCTTCGGAAATGAAACCTACACTTCTGGGGCCTGGTTGAAAACCACTGACTCTTTCTTCTGCCAAGCAGGAGCTGTGCCCTCAGGGACCATCTGCAGAGATAGTGTGGCCAATTATGGGCATTGAAAGCAAGCCAACTGGTTTAAGCCATCTTTCGCTGCCAGTATTGGCTGCTGGCAACAAAGTCGGAATCTGGAGGATACTGGGGGAAGAGTCATCCCTGCGGCCTCTCTTCACTCTCACAGCTACACTGTCTGTAATTTAAATTAGTCTGAGAGTCTCACAACCACACTATGAGCTGTGGAGCATCATCAATCTCATTTAACCCACATGAGGAAACCAGAACCCAGACTTATTACGTGACCTGTTCAAGGTTACCTTGATCCTTAACAATGAAATGGAAACCCAGCTTCTATATTTCTATAGAAATGCTTATTTAAATGAAAAAAATTACATTATTTTAATTATGCCCTTCTTTCTGAAGAGAGATCATTATAACACAAGTGAAAAAAAAAGAAAAAAATTTAATATTTTTCTTCTTTCTCTTTTGGAGGGGAAGACAGCAAAATTATGACAAGGAAACTTAACTACATGTCGTTTCAACAGTTCCTACTGTCTTTCTTAAAGACTTTACAAGTGTTACATATTTTTGCTTTTAAAACACTGGATCTAAAAGTCTTTGCTATTATGATTTTTAAAATTTTTATATACATATTTATTGGGAAATAAGCTCATAGTAAAAAGCTTAGAAATTTCTATAAAAGTAGAAAACAAATGCCATCCTAAAGTAAAAATCAGAAATAACTATTTACATCCCTATACTTCTTCAGATTTTTCTTTTCTATGCCTACATATGTTTCTTTAAACAAAATTAAGATTTGGCTGCATACGGTTTGGAGACCTAACTTTTTTTTTCCAGTGGAGATTATATCATCCTATTTCTATAATGTTAAGATTCAAATGTATTATTTTTTTTAATTGCAAACCAAAATTGTACATATGTAGTGTATAACATGTTGTTTAGATAGTTATATATAATGGAATAATGAAATTAGCATATCTGTCACCTCACATACTTATTATTTTTGTGTGGTGAAAATACTTGAAATCTACTCTCTTAGCAACTTTCAATTAGATAATTATTTATATATAATATATAACATATATATACAATATGTATGATTATTACTTATAGTCACTCTATTGTATCAAATACATTATTTTTAATGGCTGCATAATATTTTCCCGTTCCCTTCTTGAAACATTTTCTTCTTGGCTGCTGGGACATTTCCCTCTTGCTTCTCCTCCTTAGAATCTTTTAAGTCTCTTTTGCAGAACCTCTTCATCTCTCCCCAGTCTCTAACAGCAGGAGCTGCCCCAGAACTCAGTCCTAAAGCCTCAGACCTCTCCTCTTCCTTCTCCATCTGCATTCACTTGCCAGGAGTGCCCATCAAGCATCATAGCCTCAAATACCATCCATCCCTATCAACTCCCAGATTCTATTTCCAGCCTGAACTTTCCCCCGAATACTGCCTATTTGACATCTCCACTGAGATGGCTAATGACATACTAAACTTACTGTGTCTTAAGCTAAACTTCTAATGAACCTGTACTCCAGGTTCCCCTTTTCAGCAAATGGCAGCTCCATCCTTGACCTCAAACCTCCAGGCCTCAAACCTCATCTGAGGTCTTCTCCGACTCTTTTCTCTTACATCACACAGCCAGTCCTTTATAAAATGTGCCAGTCTTGCCCTTTGAGTAGTTCCAGAATCAGATGGAATTCCTATCTAACCTCACCTTCCCTGCAGCCACACTGGCCCAAGCCATCTACGTCTCTTGGTTGGATGATTTCAGGAGCCCCCTGATGGGTCTTCGTCCAGATTCCATCCTGGTCCCGTGACAGTTTATACTCAACAGAGTAACCAGATAATGTTACGGATCTGCTCAAACCCTCAAAGGCATTGCAGTGTCACTGCTAGTAAGGGCTTCTATCTCCCACCGCTGCCTCTATCCCACACCCCTCTGGCCCTTATCCACTCTGCTCCAGGCATGCAGGTATCCAGCTTCTTCTCCCTTTGGAATTTTGCTTTGCTGCATCCTGATCTGTTATGTTCTCTCCCCAGATGCCTGCCTGTCATGTTCCCTCCTTGCTTCAGGTTCCTGTTCAAACACCATCTTACCTGTGAAACTCTCTTTTCATAGTCTTTATAAAGAGCAATCTCTCTACCTAATACTCCTTTATCTGCAATCTTACCTATTTTAACTATTCTGCATCTTGCTTTTTCTATGTGGCATTTATATTCGTTTCCTAGGGCTGCCGTAACCAAGTACCACAAACTAGGTGGTCTGAAAGAACAGAAATTTATTTTCACTCTGTTGTGGATGTTAAAAGTCTGGAATTGAAATGTCAGTAGGGTTGGTTCCTCCTCAGGGCTCAGAGGGAGACTGTGTTCCACGCCTGTCTCCTAGCTTCTTATAAATGGCTGGCAAATCTTGGCATTCCATGGCTGTGGATGTATCGCTCCAGTCTTTGCCTCCATCTTCACATGGTCGTCTTCCCTCTGTGTCTCTCTCTTCTTATAAGAGCACCAGCCATATTGAAGTAAGAGCCTATTCTACTCCAGTATGACCAGTTTAATGTAACTAGTTACACCTGCAATGATCGTATTTGCAAATAAGTTTACATTCTGATCCTGGGGGTTGGACTTTAACATATCTTATTTGGGGGACCCATTCAACCTATGACAGCATACAAAGTATTTACTGGTTGATTTCATTAGTACCTGTCTTTACCCATAAAAACATAAGCTATTTCTGTTCACTGAGGTATTCTCCATGACTAGAATAATACTTGATACAGAGTGAGCATTCAATAAATACTTTTTAAATGAATTAGTGACTATGGAAATCTCATTTTCTCATCTTTTCTAAATACCTTGCTAATGTAAATACTAGCATAGTGTAAATACTCGTGTAAAGTAATGTAAATACTGGTACAGTGTAAATACTGGTATAAAGTTTTTATGCGTAATTATTCACGTGCATCTTGGGTTGTTTCTTTGGTATATGTTCCTAGAGATAGATTCAACTCAATCTACTATCCTTTATCTTAGTGCTGGTCTATGCTGCATGAATAGGTAAATCCTCTTCATTCAGATGTTGCTCAAATGGAGTTTGTGGTCATTTGAAGGAAAGGTTGACGGGGTTCATCTTTGCTAACTGTTTGTTAAGCAAATTAAGGGTGGAGTCAAAGTTTTAGTGGGCAGTGACTCAAATCCTAAAAGTTATATGTGGTTATATAATCTTTTCTCCTATTTAAGAATTGGCTTGCCTTTTTCCCAAGTTTTTGTGTAACTTCATAGTTATGTTTAGTGTCTGGTGTTAGAAAATCTTATTTCATGATCTGTTATTATTGGGCATTTAGTTTGTTTCTGATTTGGGGGTATTATAAATGATGTTGTAAGTGTATATATGTATACACTTCCCTCATTTGAATCACATGGGCCGAAGGGTATATCCATACATTTTTGTAAATACTTTTTATTTACATATTCATCTTTTAAGAAAAATGCGCCCCCCCCGGCAACTTTTTTGCCAGTATTGTTATAATCATGAATTGGTTCATGTTCACTCTTTCTTAGGGAGTGGAGCTTCCTGTTAACTGGCTACCACCTGCTGGACATGGGCCAGGCTCAAAGTTGAAGGCAACCCTGTGTGGGCTGGCTATAAGGGAAACAGTCACCCTTGGGAGGTTGGTGGAGACTATGCCCATTAAATCCCTCCATACCATGCAGTGCTAAATGGCCCAATCACATCCTCCATTTAGAAGAATATAGATCAAATGATTAAAGAGAAAGCTGATGACTCAGCCGAAGCCTGTTGTTTTTTCTGGAGTAATAGTGAGCAAATATCCCTGATTGTTTATGATGCTGGCTGTACATTTTAATGGATCACCTAAGGTCCCTGAACAGCTATGCTGCTGATGAATAATGCCTCCTTTTGCTGGCCGTTCCCATGGTTCTTTGAAATAAACTTTTATGTTGGTTAACAATATGTGCACATTACTTCCTTGTAACCCTGAAGGAATGACTAGCAGAGCCAGTACGATAGTGCTTGAAAGAAGGGAGTACCCCTTGATTATCCTGCTAGGGGTAAAGCCTATAAGCAGCTGGGTCCCCAATTCACCAATTCCGAGAGTTGTCACTAAAACCTTTTTCTTTTCAGTGGGCGGGGGGGATCAGGTTCAACATGATGTTGATCTTTTTGGTTATTAGTTAGAAACACTGAGTACTTAAATGGTCTTTACTTATTTAAAACCAAGTTCACTAATAGAGAAACTGGCCTTTGGAAAATTAGCCTTTAGTGTTGAGTGCTAAGTAATGTCCTTCATTTACTGGGGGAATTCATCTAATACTGACTTCAAATTATTCAACAATGAAATCATAGATTTACTGTAGACACACTAGTCCTCAAGCTTACAGAAGTTGGAGCCCCTATTGTCTACTTGAATCTATCATTTTGTTTCTGTCTTTGTCATATGTACAAGTGATAGCTAATTTAACTGCTTTGGTATTTTCCCAGGTAATACTGACTCCAATCCAGAAGACAGTCATCAGTTAAGTAAATAAAACAGGAACAGAACATTGGTGCTTACAGTAGGTATGATTTTAAGATAAACCCCAATGAGTCATACCCTTGTATACTCTCCTCCCCTTGAGTATTGTTGGAGCTGATGAGTTGCATTTAGTGAAAAGAATATGGCAAAGATGATGGGATCGTCACCCCTGTGGTTATGTTATTGCTATGTAAGCTGCCATTATAGCAGACTGGAAGGATTCGTTCTCCTTTTGGTCTTGAAGTAGTGAGGTACCACATGGCAAGAAACTGTGGGCAGCCTTCCTGAGGCTGAAAGTGGCCCCTGGCTGAGACCCAGCAAGAAAACAGGGCCCTTGGTCCTTCAGGTTCAAGGAAGTGAACTCTCTGAAATCATATACACATGGAAGAGGACCCCAAACTCCAGACTCCAGAAAAGAATGCAGCTGTCTTAACACCTAGATCACAGCCTTGTGAGACCCTGAGCAAGGGACCCAGTTAAGCTTTGCCTCAACTCCTGACTTATAGAAACTGAGATAATAAGTGGTGTTGTTTTAAGCCCCTAAGCTGGTGATATCATGTTATGAAATGACAGAAATTTAATACATTCTCCATATTTGGCGGGGAGTATAAGAGAGTGTGTTTAAATCTCAGCTTCGCTACTTTTTAGATGTGCAACCACAGCAAATTACTTAACCCCTCTGAATCTGTTATCTTTATGGTAAAATAGGAATAAAAATTATACCTATTTTAGGATGATAAAGAGGGAATAAAATGGTATGTGTGAGTCACTTAATGTGCTGCTTGACACATAGTAACTTTTCAATAAATGTTTTTCATTTTCATCAGAGGTTGGGCATTTTAAATTCCATAATTCCAAATATTTTCATTATTTTTTTTCCATGTACCTCATGTTTTCAAGATTTTTATTATATTAGCTGAAGTTATTTATTAAGTAATCATTTCTTTTTATTTTTTATTTTCCCACTATTTCTTTTTTCTTTGAGATGGAATCTCGCTCTGTCACCAGACTGGAATGCAATGGCATGATCTTGGCTCCTGAGTATCTGGGAATACAGGCACATGCCACTGTGCCCAGATAAATTTTTTGTAATTTTTTAGTAGAGACAGGGTTTCACCATGTTGCCCATGCTGGTCTCGAACTCTTGACTTCAAGTGATACGCCTGCCTTGGCCTACCAAAGTGCTGGGATTACAAGCATGAGCTACCGTGCCCAGCCCTCCCCATCTAATTCATCACCTATATATAGCTTCTGATCAACTAGGGGTATTCTTAATAGATTAACTGTAATTAATGTAATTTGTCTAAAAGGAAAGACATTTAGTTAGTTATAGTGAGTAGAATTTCCCTTAATTTTTGAAATAAATGAATTGTTGAACTTTGCTAGACTACCATTTGGAACCACAACATTAATTGATTGATGGTAAATAGACATTAGGTGACTTTCTGCAGTTAAGCAAGGCAATTACGATTTGCCTTTGTATGCCAGCATATTTGCTCGGGTACTGCAGATGGGTAAGAATGGCTGAAAAGAAAATTGTTAGTTCAAGGAAAGGAAGGAAGTGCCCATAAAGAAAAAGAAGATATGATATTAACATTATTTAAGTACTTACCAGCTGGGAATTAACTTATGAATCACAAAAGTTTTAGGAATTGTGCAGTATCAGTATTTAAATTACGGTAAAATGAATATGCTTCATTCATGTTCTGTGTTTATATTAAAATGCTCTTATTTTGTAACTTATTTTGTGTATAATAACAAAATAAAAACATTTAATATAAAATTATAATATTTGAAGTATGATTGCTACTCTTTCACTAGTACTTTATTTCCTCTTTGAATAGTGTTTAAAATACTGCATTTTTTGTATTATTAATATCAAGGCTGAAATTTATTCAGGTTCTAGATGAACACTTTTCAAATTGATTATAGACTTGATAGGGAACAATATTTAATAGAAGTATATTTTGTACAATCTTAGCTAAAATTCTGAGAAGAAAACGCTATGTTATAAGGAAACAGTTTATCTGATGTAAAAGTATATTGACATTTTAAAGGGCAAAAAAAAACAAAACTACAGCTTAAGAAGTATGTCTGAAAAGTTAATGTTAAATAAATTGGGTTTTCCAGGTCATACTCTATATATGCCCTGAGAAACAATTCTGTAGCACAACACACAGAAAACATACACATACTCACACAACAGACATATAATACATAAAACACCCACAGTGCACACACACAAATGGCAACCCTTATAAGCACATTAAGGTCTCTGAGAAATCCTACAATAGAGACCTACTGTGCTTTGTTTAATCATGTGCTTCTCCAGTTAATCTCAGAATCCTTCCCCTCCCCCCCCAATTCCTGATGACTGTGTTTTTCAGATGAATGACTGCCCTATGAGATTTTTCCCAAGGAAAACTATTACACAGGAGAAGTATAAGATAATCTCAACATTTATGGGTAAAAAACAGTTGCTACCATTAAAATAACCTATAGATCAGAAACAACACCTCCAAATTATGTAAAGCAATTGAGGATTCTGACAGGACTGAAAATTTTTATTTCCTTCTGGAGTCTAGGTTTGTTCTTTTGGTGTTATGTACAGATAAAGCTAGGTCTATCTGCAGGTGATCACTGTGCTGCTATTCTCTGTTCACACTGGTAGAGAGATATAGTTGGGCAGTAAAAGATGGTCATCTTCCTGCACAATGAGTCACTAACCCAAGGATGGAAGCTGTGTCTCCCCCACAAGTTCTATCAGCATTGTTTCACTTAACAGCAGAATTGGGAGCCTTATCTTTCTGCATTCCTGACACAAAGGACCAAAGGCCACTCCTCACCAACTTGTACCCCTCTCTGTTTATTCCATAAAGAATGAAAAATGAATACATTTCCACACTTTAAGAATGTATGATGAGGCATTTAGAGGGTGCTTACTCTGACAATTAAAAGGATTTTATCTTCATAAAGAAACTGACATTTGCTGTCAGGATGCCAGACCACAATTCTATATAAGCTTTTTTTTTTTTTTTTTTTTTTTTTTTTTATGATATGATTTGACTCTGTGTCCCCATCCAAATCTCATGTCAAATTGGAATCCTCCTATGTCAGGGGAGGTTCCTGGTGGGAGGTAATTCTATCCTGGGGGTGGATTTTCTCCTTGCCGTTTTAGTAATAGTGAGTTTTCACAAGATCTGATGGTTAAAGTTCCAACTGTGGCTAAAAGGGTACAAATCAGGCTTTTGCTTCAGAGAATGCAAGCCCCAAGTTTTGGCAGCTTCCACATGGTATTGGACCTGCAGGTGCACAGAAGCCAAGAGTTTGGGAGCCTCTGTCTAAATTTCAGAGGATGTATGCAAACACCTGGATGTCCAGGCAGAAGTCTGCTACAGGAAGAGCCCTCATGGAGAGCTTCTACAGGGCAGTGTGGAGGGGAAATGTGGGGTTGGATCCCCACAAAGAATCCCCACTAGGGTACTGCCTAGTGGAGCTGTGAGAAGGCCACCATCTTCCAGACACCAAAATGATAGATCCACTGACAGCTTACGCTCTGTACCTAGAAAAGCTGCAGACATTCAATGCCAGGCCATAAAAGCAGCTGCAGGGGCTGTACTCCAGAGCCACAGAGGTGGAGCTGCCCAAGGCTTTGGGAGCTCACCCCTTGCATCAGCATGCCCTGCATGTGAGACATGGAGTCAAAGCAGATTATTTTGGAGTATTAAGATTTAGTGACTACCCTGCTGGATTTCGGACTTGCGTGGGGCTTGTAGCCACTTTGTTTTGGCCAATTTCTCCCTTTTGGAATGGGAACATTTACTGAATGTCTATACCCCCCCTTCGATCTTGGAAGTAACTAACTTGTTTTGATTTTACAGACTCATAGGTGAAAGGGACTTCCCTGTTCTCAGATGAGACTTTGGGCTTGAACTTTTGAGTTAATGCTGGAATGAATTAAGACTTCTTTGAGGCACTCTTTGGAAGGCATTATTGGTTTTGAAATGTGAGAAGAATATGAGATTTGGGAGGGATGAGGGATGGAATGATATGGTTTGGCTCTGTGTCCCCACTCAAATCTCATATTGAATTGTAATACCTACCTGTCAGGGGAAGGGCCTGGTAGGAGGTGATTGGATCATGGAGACAGATTTCCCCTTTGCTGTTATTGTGATAGATCTGATGGTTTAAAAATATGTGGCCCTCCCCCTTTGCTCTCTCTCCTGCTCCACCATGGTAAGACATGCCTGCTTCCCCTGACCTTCCACCATGATTTTAAGTTTCATGAGGGCTCTAACCATGCTTCCTGTACAACTTGTGGAACTGTGAGGCAATTAAACCTCCCAGTCTCTGGTAATTCTTCATAGCAATGTGAGAACAGACTAATACAATGATTGTCTGTTTATTGTCTAAAAGATGCAGTCCTAATTAAACTTTCTGTTTATATTAACCCTAATATTTTGATCTTCATCTTTCTTTAACTTTGTAAACAGTAGAGTTTTATCCAAATGTGAAGTTTTATACCTTCACAGCTATCACTTCAATAAAGATATTTACTCTATTAAACAAAATAAATTTTTTTTTTTTTTTTTTTGAGACGGAGTTTCGCTCTTGTTACCCAGGCTGGAGTGCAATGGCGCGATCTCGGCTCACCGCAACCTCCGCCTCCTGGGTTCAGGCAATTCTCCTGCCTCAGCCTCCTGAGTAGCTGGGATTACAGGCACGTGACACCATGCCCAGCTAATTTTTTGTATTTTTAGTAGAGACGGGGTTTCACCATGTTGACCAGGATGGTCTCGATCTCTTGACCTCGTGATCCACCCGCCTCGGCCTCCCAAAGTGCTGGGATTACAGGCTTGAGCCACCGCGCCCGGCCACAAAATAAATTTTAAAATGTTTTAACAACATACAAATATATTTACAACATAATCTGCTGACTAAAGACTCCAACAAAGTTTACAGTACCTACTATATTATTCTGTTGTAGAACAGAATACAGATGCCAACAATAGTTTGCAGATTGATTTAGTTCACAGTTACATCTATTGCTTTAAGAAATACCATTAATGTAAATGCATGATTTATAGCATACCCAACACAGCAAGAAAAAAAAATAGATTTATAAAGTAAGATGTCTCTTAGGCATTTATTATGTTAAATATGCCTAGTATTTTCTTTTCTTTTCTTTTCTTTGAGACAGGGTCTTGCTGTGTCCCCCAGGCTGGAGTGGGGTGGTGCAGTCTTAATTATGCCAAGTACTTAAATGATTTTTCTCATTATGACATAAGAATAATGCCCTTTTGGTGGTGAAAGATAAATTTTTATTAGCTCAAAGACCACTGAAGAACTTCTAGGAAGTTCCAAAGTAAAATCTGGCTATTCTTTATGGAAAATAAATAGAACAGCCGCAATCTCTGTGTATTCCTTAAACATAAACTATGTTGATTCCATTTATGTTAATTGAACTGCAGGTAAATGACTTGTTACAAATAAAAGTCAAATTTTAGAAACCAGTTAACACCACTGGCCTAAGTTTGGTTTTTAATTGCTTGTATATGTCCAAGAAATTTTACCATGAAGTACATATTAAAAATTAACAATTACTTCTATACATAAGCCAAAATGCTCACTCTTTTTTTTTTGTAAGAAAGTTAGAGATTTTATATTATTGAAAAAGACAGTTCATTTTCCAGGCTTTCAAAATGACCAGAGTAGTCAAGAGACACTGTCATGGAATCAAATAATGTATTTTTGTATTAACCTATGTGTACATTGACTATTTCACGTTGACTAAGGTGCCTTAGCTGGAAAAAGGCAGCTCTGTCATTTCTTTCCTGATCCTTTTCTTTACTTCTTCTTCACTAAGGAGGATGGCCCAGCAGCAACTCAGCCCATGCTTTTTAACCCACCTCCTCCATACCCTGTACCCAATGTCCACATCAACTAAGGATCCCTGAAGGATTCTTTAACAGAACCAATGTACTGACCATCTACATTTTTCTAGATGGCTCTGAGGTCCAAGTGAAAGACAATATTTGCAAGCAATTCATTAGATTTGACCATCAAAACTCTGTTCCAGGTAAGGTCTCCTTCATTGTCTGTGGTAGAAATTTTTTCTTGCTTTATTTTCCAACTGAATTAAGATACGAAAATCTCATATACATCAAAGGTGACTTACAGAATTTCTTGGTGGTCTATATTAATATAAGGTGAAAGTCCATTACCAACTAAGAATTCAAGATGGCATTCAGTGATGACTGTATCAGTTACAAACTGTATGGAAAAGCGCTGTTTCCTGCCGTAAACATTGCTTCTTCTCAAAAAAGTTTGCAATTTGCAATCAAATGGACTGCAATATCTGGCACAAAAATCCTGGGCCTTTTCCACAAGTGTCCTGTCTGCTTTATTTTGGGTTGCCGTTACTTTGAGCACTATTTCCCACTGGGTTTTGTAACGTCATAAGTGAACAAAAGACCTGTGCAAAGAGAATACAGCATGATCTGATGCTCATAGCCTTTTCTGTAATTACAGGCACACTCAGGCATCATGGAAAATGATACCTATTGTGGAATCCCTCACTTGCCGATGAATAATCTAGACGATCAGAAATGTGGCACTATTGTGGCTTTCAGGTAGAAAAACACCCTGAATCCAGCTTCCTGCTGCAAATGAGTACTGAGCTTGGGATGGTGAAAACTGATTTTCAAGATAGTAACTATGGCCATATTATGAATCAACTGTGTTCTGTTTAGGTGGTGGAAGCAAAGCTTACTTCTGAAAATAACCTACAAATATAATATGTAAACATATGGAGCTTCAAGATAGACTAAAACATGCTACTATGTTCTATGGATCAAAATGCAAAGGTATCTGTACATATATTAATTTTCATTTTCATTAATTTGGGATATATTGATAGTACATAACTATGTGCTTACCTATATAGACCGTAAAACAAATTTTGACAATGTTTCTAATGACAACATACTTTCTAGCCCCAACTGCTAGGAAAAAATATGAAAATGACTGCCTCTGTTTTTATTTATTTATTTATTTAACTTTAGGTGCATACTATATCTGGCATTTCTACCCATGTTATCCCCATTGACTGTCTCTGTTTTTAAATGGAAAAGTAAAACCAGCACTCCTCATTGCAACATGGACTGGCCTCTAAAAGGTTCAGAGTCAAAAACCTCTGATTATTCCCCAATGTAATAAAACACATAAGCTTTCTCTCAGTGGTCAGGAAGTCTGATCCTCTCTAGTGTTTTGTCTTTAAAATTGCTTTCCAGGATAGGGCTTCAGTAGTGGCTTATGCCTGTAATCCAGCACTTTGGGAGGCTGAGGCAGGCAGATCACCTGAGGTCAGGAGTTTGAGACCAGCCTGGCCAACATGGTAAACCCCTGTCTCTACTAAAAATACAAAAATTAGCTAGGTGTGGTGGTACCACATTTCCCAGTCCCTAGAGCCTTTCTTCTTTTTCTTTTTTTGAGGCAGCATCTTGCTGTGCCACCCAGGCTGGAATACAGAGTTGAGACCATGGCTTACGGCAGCCTCAACCTCTCCTGGCCAAGAGCCTTTCTTAGCACAACTGGGTAAACTGTGTACCGCCCTTTAGTCTCTGAGCTTTGTGGCCCACTTCAAGTCAACTGCTGACCGAGACACGCAAGCCTCCCCAGTCTCCGAGTCTTCATGGGTTTGGTTGTTAATCACTCTCAGCAATAGCTGAATCCCTTCCTCCACATTGGTCTGTCCTACCTAACTGAAAATGCAAGTGAAGGTGGATGGTTTGCCTTTCTGAGGAGCCCCTTATGAGTAAATAATGCAGCAAATTCAGAAAAGTTAGGGGAGCAGCATAGAGAAATAAGCAAAGGCCGGAGCGTAGAAAGCCTTGACTCCATGCTGCTTCATGAGAACAGGGGTTCTTAGTCCTATCAGAGCAGCAGCACCTTTTGACAGCGAACGCTTGTCACCTTTTCAAAGGAGGTGTCGTCTGTCTTCAAAGCAATGCAGCTGAAACTCTAGACTAAGTTCTCCGCAACTTCTTCATCTTGCTGATCTTCTCGGCCGGATTCAGCTCAAAGAGGTGGCACCTCTGGGCAATGCGAGAGCTCAGCAACTTCCCCAAACTGGTGGAGGACAGAGTGTAGACAACCAACGGCTGGGGCACATGCCAAGGCCTCCTTCTTCTCCATGCGCCCTCCGTGGCTCACGGGGCCAAAGGAAGGCAGCAGGCTCAGTCCTGGGTGGTGGGGGGTGGCCGGGGGCATTTTCTTTGGTGCCTGGCTATGCAAACTTTCCTTAAGACCTGACAATTACTCAGGCACAGGAATCCCATATTGCTGAAATTAGAACAAAAGGCCTATGTACCTTAATGCATTCGTATTTCATATTTTGAATAAAACCATGATTTTCAACAGAGTGACTTCTGCTCTATTAAAGGAATGAGGCTGGGCATGGTGGCCCACGCTTGTAATCCCAGCACTTTGGGAGGCCAAGGGGGGTGGATCACTTAAGGTCAAGGTTGAAGACCAGCCTGGCCAATATGGTGAAACTCCCATCTCTACCAAAAATATGAATAAAAGAAAAGAGAAGAAGGAGAAAGAGGAGGAAGAGGAAAGAAAGGAAAAAGGAAGTAAGGAAGAAAAGAAAAAAGAGAGAAAGAAAGAAAAAGAAAAGGGAAGAAAGAGAAAGAGAAAGAAAGAGGGAAAGAAAGAAAGAAAGAAAGAAAATGAAGAAAGGAAGAAAGAGAAAGAAAGAAGAAAAGCCCAGTGAAGTGGTGGGCGCTTTTAGTCTCAGCTACTCAAGGGGGTAAGGAACGAGAATTGCCTGAACCCGGGAGGCGGAGGTTGCAGTGAGCCGATATCGCGGCACTGCACTCCAGCTGGGCGACAGAGCCAGACTCTGTTTCTAAATAAATAAATAAATGTAAAGAAATGGAATATCCTGGCAACTTCTAGAAAAGCTTTTTATTAGTAAGTTACCTATTTATTTATTTATTATTTATTTATTTATTTATTTTTTGAGACGGAGTTTCGCTCTTGTTACCCAGGCTGGAGTGCAATGGCGCGATCTCGGCTCACTGCAACCTCCGCCTCCTGGGTTCAGGCAATTCTCCTGCCTCAGCCTCCTGAGTAGCTGGGATTACAGGCACGCGCCACCATGCCCAGCTAATTTTTGTAGTTTTAGTAGAGACGGGGTTTCACCATGTTGACCAGGATGGTCTCGATCTCTTGACCTCGTGATCCACCCGCCTCGGCCTCCCACAGTGCTGGGATTACAGGCTTGAGCCACCGCGCCCGGCCAAGTTACCTATTTATTAAGGTACAGAGAAGGAAGGAACTTGCTAAAAATTATTTTGATTCGGTTCACTCAGTATTTGAATACATGCAAGATATTTTGCTATGCATTTTGCCTGTGTTTTGACCTATAAGCAAGAAGTAAATACATATCGTCATCCTTCCAGAATAATTTTCACCTGTATTTGATGGCTATTTGCAAGCTGAGCATGTGCCAGAGCCCACCTGTCCTTTCTTCTTAAACTCATAGGATTAACCAGGCTGGTAAGTGGTAAGTGACACCAAACTAGGCTGGATTTATAGGAATTTTAAAATGTTAAGGGACAACATCTACTCAGAATCAAATATTCTGAAAAAATGAAAAATTTTCTTTGACATTTTACCAAAAAATTCCTTGACATTTTACCATCCTCTTCTACCTTCTTTTTTTTTTTTTTTTTTTTTTTGAGACACAGTCTTGCTTTGTTGCCAGGCTGGAGTGCAGTGGTGCAATCTCGGCTCACTGCAACCTCCACCTCCCAGGTTCAAGCAATTCCCCTGCCTCAGCCTCCTGAGTAGCTGGGACTACAGGCGTGTGGCACCACGCCCAGCTAGTTTTTATTTATTTATTTTATTTTTTATTTTTTATTTTAATAGAGATGGGGTTTCACCATGTTGGCCAGGATGGTATTGATCTCCTGACCTTGTGATCCACCCGCCTCAGACTTCCAGACTGCTGGGATTACAGGTGTGAGCCTTTCTACCCTTTCATTGTAGCATCCTGAGTTGAAACACCAGGGCCAGCACTTTGAAATACCTGTATGGTCTAGGAGGCTGTATCGCTATAGGGTATTTCTGACCTATCAATGCTACAGACACAGGAACTTCCTTAGCACTTTAGCCTGAGATCATTGGTAGAGACTCAAGTCTCAGTGATGGGATTCGGAGGGCTGCCTGTTAATTTTTGAGAGTGGGTTGTGATGATTATGTTTATGTGACCACTTGGCTAGGCTATAATATTCAGTCAGGCTTTCTACATGCTTGTGTGAATCTATATTTAGGTGAGATGAACATTTAAACCAGCAAACTTTGACTAAAGCAGATTGCCCTCCAAAATCTGGTGACCCTCACCCAATCAATTGAAGACCTTAACAGAAAAAAGGCTGAGCCCTTTTGAGGCAGAGGAAATATACCAGCAGGCTGCCTTCCAACTTGAGATGCAACATCTTGTCCCTGGGTCTTCGGCCTGCAGCCCTACCCTGAAGATTTTGGACTTGCTAACCCCCACAATCATGTGAGCCAGCCAATTATTTAAAATCAATCTCTTTCTCTCTCTCCACACACACCCTTTCAGTTCTGTTTCTCGGGAGAAACCTGACTAATTGATGGGTGGCCTTTAATATGCTTTATGGTCAAACCTGTGAGCTGCTTAATGAAAACAATCTGGGATGGCAAAGAAGACGTTTTTGGCTTGATTCCCAAATTTGGCTTTGACCTTTGCCTAGACTTTAGCCTCTTAGCGCCCCCCCGAAAACCCTGTGACTGACCCTCAGTGCCAAACTGACTGCCTCTTGAGTAGGCTCTTCTACATAGAGCTGAATCTGAGCCCCTGGGCACTTTTCTCTCCAGCTAAAATTATACGGGGCACACTCCTGACTTTGAACAACGTGAGATTCAATTCAGAACTTAAATTGTGAGCATGTCTGAGTTCCAATTTCGTGCAAAGTTAATTAATACTTTAAGATTCAAACAGCATTTTCCTGTACGTGCCCTGTTCAACGCACATAGAGATGACCCTCTTCTAGTATAGTGCCATTTTATACAATTTTGGTGCATTTCTACTCATACTTTCCACTACACCCAATGCTGAAGAGGACCTATGAAACACTAACCCATGGGCTCACTTGTGTAAATACCATATTCTATATAGATGATCCAGCCTTGAATGTTAGTAATACCCATTATTATAATTCTAATGCTCATATTTACTGAGTGCTCACTGTGTGCCAGGCATTATTTTGTAGGTACTAAACCCTTTAATGCTCACACCGATCTGAAACGAGGTAGGTGCTATGATTATCCCCATTTTACAGCTGAGGAAATTGAACCACACCCAATGGCACCGTAAATAGTAGATGACCCCTGAGATTGTTCAGCTGTACTCATTGGGAGGCAGTCCTGATGCTCTACTGCTGGCCTTGGGAGTCTCTCCTGCTTCTATCCACAAGGGCACACAGCATGGCAATCCTCTAATCCTGCCTTTGAGGATGTATCCTGAGAATCAGAGCTCATGGCTCTTGGCTTTCCACCAGAGAACAGAGATTTTCAGTCTTAAACTTTTTTTCTGGTTCCTCTTTTCTGAAGTTGCTGTGTCTTCTGTTCTAGTGTCTAATTTGTCATAATTCCCTTTTTTCCTGCTTACCCCAACATGTGGCCTCTACTTGTTTCTGTGCTATGTTTCTGTGCCCTATCCCTCTCTGGAGGGTCTCAAGAAACATTCTGGTGAGCTCAGCATACTGGGGGCTGCAGCTTTACCATCAGAGAGCTGCTGTTCACCTTCTCAGCTCCTTCTTGGTCTAAACTGTACTGCAAGACTAAGGGCTTTGGATAGTTGAGCCTTTTTTAATCCATACAAGGAAATACACTGACTCACCTCTCCTGACTTGTACATAGGATTATCTTGACACTGTTCACATATCTTGTTCTTTAATCAAAGTCCAACACTGCTCGTTTTATTTAAGTATGACTTCAATGAACTTTTTAATTTGATGAGTTGTAAGTTCTCAGTGATTCTGGTTAAATGTTTTCTTAACTTTGAGAGAACAGTCTTCTCTTCCTATAAGTCACTGAATAAGTCTTCCTAAAGCTAAACAAGGCTTTCTGTACCTCACTCTTTGAAGCAGACTTCAATTGCCCCTTTAACAGAGGCACACTTCTCTCTGTGCCTTTCTATCCCCTTACACACTAGGAATCCATGGAGCCCATCATACCTGGCACCCATAGCATGGTAACTAGGAGGTAGCATAAAAAATACTACCCTCCTAGAAAGGATGGCTGTTATA